GCACTTTTAATTAAAACAACATCTATTTATTAATTTTTAAAACTGTAAAAAGACTCATAGTTATGAAACTAGACAGAAACAACTTTAGGAAATTTCAAGCCACAGATTAGCTTTGTGCTTATTTTGTGTGTAAACACTAAATACAGCTTTGTTTGTGTTTCACAATGGGCCCTATTATAAATGCATACAAGCAAGGCAACAAGTGTTTCCTTGATACAAGTCTACAACAAATTATCCTTTTTTCACAGACCAGTCTTTGAGTTTAAATAATTTTAAAAAGAAACTTTCAGAAAAATGTATTGCACTTTGTCCATATGATATGAATAAATTTGTATCCTGTCAACTGTAATATCTTCTTTTAATATTTAATTGTACATATTTATTATGTGTAAACTATTTCTATTTATAATACAAGATTTGTACTGACATGTCACATATTCATTGCTGATCTTCAGCCTCTGTATTGTGAATTTTTGTGATGAATAAATTGAATTGAATTGATGAATATTATTATGCTTGCGTATTATTAGCATTTTTCCCCTTTTATTTGGTGTATTTTACTTTTATTATCCTTCGTTCACAATATTTAGGTGGTTTGAGGGGAAGTCCCCCCACCACTTTTTTTGGTATTTGATATATGTTGCTTAATCAGCTGTTGGGCTTTATTATTTTAAAGGTAATAATGTCAAGTGAAGGAGTTAGATTTCTTCCCCTAAAACCGCCTAAATATTGTGAACGAAGTATAGTTGGTGTATTGGTTATAGTAGGTTGTTGGTTATGTGTTCCATGTCTTTCCTAGGTTTGTAAAGTTGACCAGCCAGATTAAAAGTTAAGTTTTGACTACTATCTTCAAATAATGTTGTCCAATTTATTTTTTGTCAGATTTTATAGGTGGTTTTTGTTTTGATACTTTAAAATTACAAAATGATATGTTCACATTTTAAGTTATTCAGAAGTTTTACTTGACGTTGACAGTCATAATTAGTTTATTTATTACCGTATTGTTTATATAACATAAAGTTTGGAAAATTCACTATGGAAAATTCCCAGATTCATTACAATAATCAATCTCATTTCAGTTCATTGCTATTCAAGCATTTAATCTTGGGTCATCCCATTTTACATTATCATTCTGTTGTCAAACAAGATTTACATTATGTAATAAAGCTAATGATGTCCTTCTCTAGCATTTCAATGGTGTCAACAATCAACAATTCAATAGCTGGACTTTCATCTCAATTAATTTTATTCATCGCAGAGTTAGAGGACAGAAGTTTGTACTGTACTGCCATTGATTTGAAAATAGCGCCTTGAACTTTACAGTAAATATTGTCGTTAGAATTTCAATACAAATTTTACTCTTGAAACAACAAGGAAAACATGAGCGATTTCCGCGTCCAAAATTAGTTTTAAGAAATAACAGAAAAGTAAACAAAATATCTCAATCATTATTCATACATAACAACACTGATAATAATTAATTATTTCACTTAAAATGTGATTAACTGAGAAACAAGTAGTTAAGAATTGTTTAAAGAATCAACTATTTATTTGATACTATTGAGTTATCATAGTTGGTTTCTAATGATTTATCACAAAATAACTAAGACTGGTAAAATAAAAAATTACAGCTAGCAAAAACCACTTTTCTTGAAACATTTTCTGGCCTTAATCCATTAGAATAAAAAAAGCGGAAAAAATTAAAAATGAACAATTACGGTACCATGTATTTCTATGAAATGTTAAATATTATTATTAACAGTTAAGTAGCTAAACATTAATTCAGATATTATAAGACATAAATATATCAAATATAAATAAATATATATATAAAAAAAAAACTGTTGATTATAATGGTTTGGCAAACAAATAAGTTGATTACCTAACAAATTTCAATGGCAAAGTCATAGTAACTTTTAAGACTTTACGGGCAACATAATAATAATATCTCCAAATGAATCAAAGCCTATCATTTTTCTCAAAGCGAGTTTTTTTCATGTTCCAAAGCTTTTCCTCAACACTTTGAAAGCCTGGGTGCAGAGCCTGGTCTCAAATCGGGAATAGGTAATATACTCCTGTTTCTCAAGCTATCTCATACCTTTTCTAATCCAACTCAGTAGTTTATAATTTTTATTTTTTATTCAGACACCTAATATTTATAATCACGTAGACATTTAAAACAAAAAAGGTTACATTAATTACAAACTACTAAAAAAACATGATACTACAAACCATATCTCTACTAATTACTGATATTTATTGTATCAGGAGAAGCAAGAAAATACTGATAAGTTGACCTTTCACACCAGAGTCCACATTCGCTCTGCAATTTTTGTTTTCATGGAAAAATTCTTTGTAAATTTTCCCGTGGAAGAAGTGATTGGGGTCCAATTGAAATACCCAAGAAATTTTATCCTTTGATACCTAGAAAATAAAAAAAACCGTAAATTTGTACTTGAAAACAAATTATGTGTGTAAAATGTATAAGAAAACTGCAGCTTATTGAGTTGAAAGTTAATTTGCACTTCAAACCAATTTTTGCCGTATTAACAGCTGTTTGAGAAAACATGGTGCACACCCACCTCAGCCACCTGGTGGTTTATATTTAGACAAACCGGCTGTAACTGGATTCTCAGTAACTTGGCAGACCTTCCGTACTCAATCATCACTGAACTGCTCGGTTACAAATGCTCACTATTTGTATAGCATTTTCTACATGGCATAAAACCTGTAATATTTCAGCCCAAGTACTACAGTTTCAGGACACCTGATAGTATATTTATTTCATCACTAGAGCTTAAAGTGACTCTATTTGTCCCGAAGTCAAGTTTTACGGTCGAGGCGAAGACGAGGTCGGAAAATGAGCGAGAGAAAAACCGGATTTGTGAAAAACAATCATGGGCTAGTGCAGGACAATAAAAGTCAGATTTGAAATTGAAGAAAGAACTACTTTTCATGGTCTTTAACTTTGACCATCAGCAAATATCTATATAATTAATACGCGAACATGGTTGAACTCCTCATTTCTTAACCTATTTTATCCATTGACGTCGCTCTGTCGTATTGGAAAGAGCGTGTCACGTGGATTTGCAAACTGGCCTTACATTTTTTTTTAATCCCTTGGGCTCTGCCACAGTGGTTTTGAAAGTTCCCATGTTATCCTTATGAAGCTGGATCCTTATATTATCAGCTGGATAATTTATAATTGCTGTTATTTATTTTTCAATTCAACGAAACACATTAGGTACATTTAATGATTTTGTAGAAATTAAATATTTACTACATATTACAATGTAAAAAATCGAGAAAGCCATATGAGTTGAGTCTTTTAAACTCATCGGAAATTATGACTTTTATTCGTTTTTTAATAAGGTATTTGTTTTTAAATACTGTAACTACTTTACTTCTTTGCAATTGCTCGATTTCGAGCAACATGTATGTACACTAGTTTGGGATTATTTCACAAGCATTCTTTTGTTTGAATATGTCAAGATTAGTCTTGACTACTCCATTTTCGGTTACCCAAACTTCTCCATGGCTGATTGCAAGATGTTTCCATTATGCTATGACAGTACATCGTAACAGGTGCTTAGTAAACCCCATTTTGCCACCCTTAGTCATTCTCCAAAAATAAGGTAGACTTGGACTTGGACCTCTAAGACTGGCTGTACTTTTCCTCTGTTTTTGCATGCCGCATACCTTACGTTAAAAATACCACACAGTTGCCAACTTCTCATACCTGTAGGCCTAGTCTATGTGACCACTCACATCTTAGTCTCAATGCAAATGTAGACCAGAAGGTAAGTGAAAGTTTATCGTTTTTCTTGTATTTTACTTTTGTTAAAGGTTCTAATGTTTGAATGTCATTATTAATATTTTTAATCTTTTTTATTTTCAGCTCATCCAACTTTACTGCCACTGGTTTGGATGTTAATTAATGTTAATGTTAACATTAATCAGAGTAATTTCAGGCAAAATTGCATTAAGGGGGGAGTTCACGCCAAAAATGGCCAAAATATGAATTTTTACAATTTTTTATTTTTTTATTTTATTTTTATTATATATTAAATTCTGAACATAAAACAGTTAAAACCAACCTTATACGATTTTTTTCTCATAAAAAAATACTTTGAGTAGCACTTTGTCAATCACTAAAAGCACCGTGTTTTGGTATTCGGTTGTTTTTCAAAAGTTTACTTTTTTCGCATGGGAACATAAATATCTCAAGTTCTATACTAGATAGAAGGATGACATTTTTTTTATTTTGTTCAGTTTGACAAAATCTACAATCTCTAGCATGGATTTGTAAAAATAATGTCATTAAAATATTTAAAAAAATAGTTTTTACCAGTTATTTTGGGAAAAAAAATATTTCGAAATTTAAAAATTTACTGTAATTTTATTTTATATAATTTCCTTAAACCCATGCTAGAGATTGTAGGTATTACTCTCAGGAACAGATTAAAAAAAAAACAACCCTCTATCACTTTTAAAACCTGAGAAATTTATGTTCTCGCAAACCCTTGCAATACACAGAAAATCCCCCCCCCCCACCCTTGGGTAGCGGAAAAAAAATTTTAGTTTTTTTCTGTATGTTTTTTATAACTTCACCTTAAGGTGTAGTATGAGTAAAATTGGTTTGTAAATAAAGATTTTCACTTTTTATTTGAACTCCCCCTTAAGTTAAACTTATTTCTATTCTGATATTTTCATTATGTGCATTCAATTCAGATCTTCAAGCTTTTCATTTGAAATATTGTTAGTTAAGAAACATAACCTTACAAATTTTGCGGAAATTTTAAAACATTTTGTAAGAAAGACAAGAGTACAATAATTATAAAATAGATATCGGATAGTAATTCTCCTCGGAGAGCTTGGCTATAATGCCAGAGTAGCTTGTAAAATGCCTTACAAAAAATGTTAAATTTCAATAAATAAAAGCTGACTATGAAATAATACTATAACTAAAGGATATAAGGGTTAACAATTACAACAATTAATTATTATTTTCACTAACATCTTTATTTATTTAATAACTTAAATCACTGGATGATTTTTAAATATATTTTTTTTATCAATTGAAAAATAACGATACAATACAACTTAATGCAGAGATCACAGCCCACGAAACTCTGAACTATTTACAAAGTATATAACCAGATAAAAAAAGAAATTATAAGTTGGGTTCTGTCACACAAAATATACATTCACTAGGACAATTATGTACAAAGCTCCAGATCGTGGAGCTATACCGTATATTCTATTATTACTTGAGCAAACTGACATTAAATTATATTTACATAACTCGGCATCGCATACTTACATGTAATACATCTTTATATATAAAACAATATATATATGTATGTATATATTTATATATAAATATTAACAGAGATAGTTTGGTCAAAATATACAGCTTTCTACCTCGAAAATATAACAAATAAACATTTGTAGCTTTTGTACTTCATTATTGGAAGTTAATTATAAATTATTACATATTAAATACAAAATTTACAAGAAGACATAAAATGTACATAGGATACTATTATTATTTGGTTTAATTTTCTTACCTTACTTGATTTATATACATTTATTACAGTTTCCTACAGTTAAGAATAGACACAAATATTTCGATGTTGGGAGAAGTTGTGTCTTGTGGTCTAGGCACTGAGACCACTTAAGAGTTTATCTTTTTTTTTTTGTTCGACACTTGGCATAATGATAGTAATATTCGGTGGTGGTCAGAAATCGGGTAAAATATCGTCAAAATCGGATGAAAAGGTAAAAATCAGTTAGCAAAATCTTCCCAAAACTTAACTCAAACTCTTGTATAAATCGATATCAAAACATTGGCTAAGACTCTTGTAAAGCACACAAAAATAAATCCTCTGACTAAAACAATTCTGACACAAGTTTGGGAAGCTGAGGCCGGACGCGAAACAAGTGACTCAACACTGACGTCGAGGAGCTCCGAGAGCGGAACTGGACACAGGTGTGACAACTGCTCACTTTTCACAGTGGCAATCACGAAGACCAGGTGTGACAACCACACACTTTACACTGTGGCTATCACGATGAGCAGATGTGCGATGTTGGCGACCCTGTGAAGGAGGTCGGGCGCGATCCTCGCCAGACTCTCGTTGGCAAAGTCACATGACGGGAAGATGTGAACAACATAAGCTGCCTGGAAGGGAAAAAAGTATTAAACTTTACACGTTACATTACAAACAAATTAGAATATTTCCCTGTTACTGAAAGAATAAAAAAAAGAGTTGTCTCTGTCTGTATTCAAGAAGAAGACAACTCTCTCTTCAACTCATACATCTTCCTTAGTTGCAAATGGGACAGTGAAATAGTCCCATAGTTTGTGTAGAGTGTAAAGTTTTCTGATTTTTGTGCCAGATTCCTCTCTCTCATTCAGGTTATCCTGCTATCCTCACAATCATAAAAACCTAGGCTTTTGCTCCAGTACATCCTTGTCGTGTCAATTGTCAAACAATCAATCTTATTAAATCCAGAACATTTTAACAATTGATTCAAGTTGTTATACACTCCTTCAGTAAAATACATTAGTGTTAGTTTTCTAAATTTGAGGTAATTCAAGTCCAGCTTTGCTCACCTGCTGAGACCCAGGGCCGGCGATGTTGACTATCCCGGCGGCCTGTTTCTGCTGCAGGTAGGTGATGAAGCCACTCTGTAGATTATTGCTTTGCTGCAGGACGTCCATGTGATCTCGTCCACAAGGCAGAGCGAGCAACATGCAATGTTCTGCGTCCATCTGAGAACAAACATCAACAGTGTCATCTTGAGAACAGTAATATAAAATATTTCACGATGGAACAGCCTATGGATCGTTGGCATTAGCGAATTGAATGTTTATTTCTCCTGTGCTTCAGTTAAATGATCCTTTGCAGCTGCTGCAGTGACTACAGCTGTTTAATACTCATGGGTTAGTCATGCAGTCCCAAAAATGTCAAATTCAATGCACTACACAACTTAAGATCTGATGATTTACACATGAGTATGAAACAGCTACCACTGTTATCTTCACAGGCTAGTTACAAAAAATGCATAGGGGAAAATCTGAGCGTTCATCTCAGAAAAAGTCCAGGTAGGCCATAATACACAGAAAACACGTTTTGTCCAACTCTATTTGCAACGTAAAAGAGAGTTGGACAAAATGTGTTTTCTGTGTGTACTGTGGCCTACCTGGACTTTTTCTGATGAACTAGCTGCTTTATTATAAAAAAAATTCTGTCCTAGAGCCTTTTGTTAAACAAAATTAACTTGTTTTTTTTTTTGAAGAACTGTTAATTTCCTCAGTAATATTAACACTATTTACATAAAAATACACTTAGAAAAAATATTTAGACTGATTATATCGCACTAATTGTGTTTTTCTGTTTGAGTTGGACAAAATGTGTTTTTTGTGCATACTAAATCCTACCTGCACCTATGATTTTAAACTAGCTACTACCCCTTTATTCAAAAAATCACAAACAAGACACAAGTAAATAGTTGTGTGTACCACAACGCTACAGCAAAGACAATTACAGGTATTAATGTTGTGGCCGTACCTGCATCTTGCGGGCAACCCCTTCCACCTGGGTCTGCTCCAGCCGCATCCTCTGGGCGATGCGTAGGGGTGGTGTGGACCCGTCCGAGTTGCAGGGTAGGGAGTCTCGGGCGACGTGGGGGTTGCCGAACACAAAGTGCATCTGGACTGCGGCCTGGTCGGTTTTGAGAGCGAGCAGACCTTGCCACATCACTGGGTACCTCTGTAACATCATACCATGGTGGTCAGTTATACCATGGGCAATCTCTGTTAGGGAGTGAGCTGGTCTAGTGGTCGAGCGCAGGACTTTGTTCCCTGAAGTCGTGGGTTCAAATCCCGCCAATCAGAATTGATTTCATTACAGTGATACTACAACCTCTAGGCCTAGCGTCCTAGGATGAGAAGATGGACATAATAAAAAAGTCTCATGATGGATTGGCCTCTAGATGGTTTGAATTAACTAAAGGTTTAATTTCCTGGTTAATGGGAAAACAATCCAATGTAGTTAGAACGACTACAGCTGTTTCGTACTACACATTGAGAACATAATCAGCTGACATTCTGACCTGATGTTGTATTCAATGTGCAGCACTAAATAGCTGCAACGTTTGCTGTCCATTGAACTGCCGTTTTGTTCATAATACACAGGACCATTTTAACAGTAACCAGGTGATTCAAACCTTAATTTGTAACAAAGGGATTAGAGAGGAAATATTGACGGAATGCAATGTATTCCCTACTAAAACTACAATCTGAAAGAATCATAGCAATGACTTTTTGATGCTGCAGTAGACAATTTATTTAATATAGGCCAGTCTTAGCTATTTTATATAAGTAAAAAACTACTAGACTGCCAAAAGTATAATTATAAGTAAAACACAAACAAGGAGTCGACTTTAGCATCGTCAATCAAACAAGAAATTTACCAACTTGAAAAAAACATTATTAAAATTCCAAACACTCAAGACTCAACTCTCCCTCACATAAAAACTATCCTACTTAAAAATTACAAACATAACAATCCCTAAATGAGACTGTTAGTTACCTGCAGCAGCATGAGTAGTGAGTCGGCCTGAGGTGGCACCTGACTGGCGTGCGGAGGTGTAGCCACTTGCAGACGAGGCTGGGCGTGCGAGGGTCGGTGTGCTGGGGGAGGCTCGTAGTACAGGTGGCGTGGCCCATGCACATACACCGTAGCCACCTGGGGAGAGTCAGTGGTGCGGTCGTGAGGCGAACCTCTCCTCAACTCCAGTGCGTCACGAGCACCTTCCTCTATCTCACCCTTCACACCTGCAAAAACAAATTGATTATAGGTAGGTTTAAAAGATGAATAGTTGTTATTGAAAATTTGGTACAGTTATGATGTCACAATAAACGACCAAAGGAAAATATTGTTAAAATATTTCACTTTGGGGACTATGAAACGTTCATGGATGTCACAGAATAAAGAACTGACACAGAAATATCACCAAGTCAAAAAAACCAAAACATTGAGTTTTAATCTGCTAGTGTCTACACCAGAATCTAATAGCACTGCTGCCGCTGGTTGGCGGGCTCAGCCGAACATGGGGCAGTAAAACTAAATGTATACTTTAGAATAAATCACAGTGATAGTAGCGCTCCTATATTCTGGTAATAAAGGTAATATACAAATTAAATTCAACTCTATTAATAATCTAAGAGATAAGGTCCTACATACAGGAGCCATGGGTTATAGACTCGGTTGTGACCAGGTAAATGTGGTACGTACCGGTGGGCAGATGGTAGCCCGTGAGTGCAGCCTCGCGTAGGTACTGCTGGTACACCAGTTGTGGATGAACGTAGTGGGCAGGCTGGATGTGGTGGGGAGGGAAGTTGACATGTTGTACCACGTCTCCCTGTAAACACAAGCATGACGTATTAGAACAGACGTTAACATCGTGAATATCTTCAGATACATAGCGACCTCCTTAGCAAGAGCTTAGATAACAAAACGATCAACCGATCCAATCTCGGTGGAATTAATCAAGGGGCTTTATCAAGGAATCGAACCCAATCGATCATGCAGTTTTCAAACCTGTATAATTTGATACAATAATCTTCATAGAAGTTATCCTTGATAGGCTGTGTACTGATAAATTTTGAAATATTTCTTGCTGTCAATGTTCTTATTGTATATTTTATTTTAATCTAAGGTAATTCAACCAAAAAAATATGTTTGGTGAGGTTTGGATAGCTAAAACCACCATGTAGATTTTTTAAAGACAAAAATACAGTAGATTCCATCCTGTTTGGATTGAATAGTTCAAGTGGCCTCTTGTATGACCCTAGCAGTAACAAAAATGAACCTCATTGGTTCTATTAGCTTAATATAACGTAAATAACAACTGAAGTTAGTAGTGCTGTGGTATTGTTCATACACTTTTAACAAAACACAAATAATGATAAGATATTCCTAATATCTTACTATAGAGCTACAAGTAGAGACACAATCACCACAAAACATTGAACAAAGAATTCAAAGCAGAACATGCAATTATGATGTGTGGCACAAGCTAAGCCCGGAATATAAGATATAATACCACTAGTCGAAATAGTTGTTTACAAGTTCACTTAAATTACTGATCTCAGCATAGGAAAAAGCACTGCACTTACTGTGCAGTATTGTACATCTTATTCTGTGTCTTGAACAAATTAATAATGGACATTGATATAATTCATACAAGATAAAAACCACCAATGATGGTGATGTTAGATGGTTAAAGGATTCTGTTCTACTTTTGCCGTGTAGTAAAAATAGGAAGAATGAGTTTGCAGGATTTTCAATGAGTTGCCATATTAGGAATAATAATTCAATAATGTTGTCACAAAGCACTTTTTGGTTTCCACATTTTAGAGCATGTTTAATTTAGAACTTTATGTTACAAACTAGGAAAGAATGGGTAGTTTTAAATTGCTGTAATTTTTTTCCAGGTAAGTTATTTTAGATTATCCTTTTCCAAATATGAGTAGTTTATTCTGTGTCTGCAACATTGATTTATTCCCATATTGTAAATCTCGTTAAAACGCCACCAGTTGGTTTTGCTTAAAACCTTTCAAATCCTGATAAACCATTAAACATCAAACAGACCCAATAGCTTTTTTTCGACAACACTGCACAGCTAAAGATAGAGTGGGGGGTGCGGGGGTGTACCTGGGGCTGGTGAGCGGGCGGGGGACTCTGACGGGGCCACTGGGGGTTTGGAAGCAACTCAGCCACCAACCCATGCTGCACCAAACCAACCAACCATCACCACAATATCACACAGTTAATCATACCAGGAGGTGGAACATGTTAGTGATGCATGACTACACAGCGAATTATAAAAAGTATCGTGAATCGACTTCTTTACAATTGAAATGTTCACTATCAGGTACCAAATCTAGGCTATGTAAGTTCATTTCAATGGAAAATAAAGAACATGGTAGTGTTGCAAAATATGGTCATTACAGTAGACCCCCTCTTAACCGACCTCGTATTAACCGATAATCGGATTATCCGCCTTCGATCGTAAAATAATACAGTTTGTTTTAACCGACCTTGATTTGAGAGCAGCTCGGTTTAACCGCCGCTTTCTAGGAATCTCGGCATTTCCGCTCCCACGCTGGGCGATGAGAACTGAACCATACGCTTATCTCCACAGGATATGACTAACAATAAGCTATTTTGCTTTGAGCACAAAAAATATAGCATAGCCTATTTTCAGTTTGTCAACATCGTTCGTAGCTCGAGCACATCTGATCTGATTTGTTATCTGTGCGGCAAATTTATAACATCATAAAGTGCGTTACGATTTTGAGAACTGATTATCTTATCACCGGAGTAAACAAACAACGCAACTTGTAAGGAAGGCAGGGAAAGGGGGTTAACAACTCCAAGGTCAAGATAGTTTTTGTGCCTGGAGCCTCCAGCGAGAGGCTATAAATAAACGTCCTGTTTTGTAACAAAATGGTCGCTTGTATCTTTAATGTCGACAAAAGGTTCTGTACTGTATTACGATGTATTTGGAAAGCATCAATTAATACATTACAGTATTAAAGTTATTAAAATAGGAATTTTATTGACTCTTGCCTAGTATTATAATAATATATTCCACTGAAAGTAGGCCTATTTGACTTAACTGTGTTTTGTGTTTATTTGTGACTTTTCTATCAATATGGAAAAGGAGATAAGAGTAGTTTATTTTATAAATAATGCAAGTATGACTTCAAAATGATGATTATATAATTCCAAATGAATAGCACTTCATTATGTTATGATTTTAGGGATTGCCCGTTTTATCCGACCTTTTGAGTTATCCGACCTAGGTCCGGTCCCATTAGGGTCGGTTAAGAGGGGGTCTACTGTACTACCCAGGAATAATTTTTCAAGGCAACAACAAATTATTTACTCTACTTTCAGTCGCAAGTTTTAACAAAAATCAATAACATGTTCTGCACCTCAAGTAGTGTTAATTGTTAAACAAACATACAAGAACTCTGACAGTTTGTGCATAAGAATTCATCAGCCTATTTCTGCAAATGTAAATGTTGACAGAAGCAAGAAGAAGAAGAAAAATACTTATAACTGCTACAAATTATCTTTTTGTTAACACTCAGTTCTGTAAGATTTCTGTCAGCTCAAGACTGTCAAAGTTCCATTAGATTTTACAGTAGCCACCAAAGATTAAGAGATAGGTAAATGGACCAGATCCTTAGCTACCCATGGTCAAAGGGCTTTGCCGCTGCCTAAAATTGTACAACAATTGTTGACTAAATAATCAACTGGTTAAACTGTTTTCGGAGGGAGTGTTGTTTATAAAAAGTATGACATTGACAAAGCCCGTAAGATCTATGGGTGGGTAGGTACTAGAAATTGTCACAAATTTTTGACCTCAAATGGTAAGATCATTAAAATCCTGTCTCTTAATTTTGGCAACTATAGTTAATCCTTTATTTATTAGTAAAAGAAACAGTTAAGATAAAGTTGTATTTAGGAAGCTGTTAATGTAATTACAAGCATTGCACGCCAAGTTACTTAAAAAACAAAAGTATATGAAAAAATGGTTTAGTAAGTTTGAAGAGCTATAAAGCCACAATAGCAACAAACTGAGTTAACAAAATTCTTCACTCGTTAATTTGTCAGAATGTTTCCGTATCCTTTGATAGAAAGTGAAAAACTCAGTTATGTTGAACCAATTATTTATTTCATATTTCTTGTATCTTGTATATTTGTTAACACTGATGTTGTCCTATTTTTGACATTTTGACGGTAAACCCAAAAAAATGAAAGGTGGAAAATAATTGATGCTGTAAAATGACAGTGTATGGTTGAATGTAGAGATTAAATTACAAAATAACAAACAAAATATTTGAGTATGAAGAATGTGTCATTGCTATAAAATGTTACTTGTTATAGATTACAAATTTCATGCAAAGAGATCAGAGCAGAAGTTAGAAGGGAAAGGAATTGTCAAACAGTTTTTAGTATAGACAAATTATTTTGTTCCACCACCTTACAAAGACTGTTAAAGAAATTGGGAAATATCTACCTTCTAAACACATCATCATTGTTAATGAAACAGATAACTAAAAATTACGCTAATGTTTTGTAAGTTGGCTAAGGAAATCACCAAAAAACGTCAACACTAATTCATCTAATTTTACCATAAACAGAATTTTGACAAGGCTGTGAACATTAGGAAATAATTACGTAATGATAATGAAGGTAGTTATGTTAGTGTTAAAATAAGATTGTTGTTTGAACGCATCTGTTGACGGAATGGTTAAGTTGTTGAGTTTACTGACCATAGAAGCTTCGTAAGCTGGGACGGGAAGGCCGGCCTGCATGACTTGACTGCGGGTTTGTGGGGAAGCGGACGGAACCACAATACAACCCCCGGGTTCAACCTTAAGAGGCTCCAGCAACCCACCCTTGCACACAACCTGCACATGGGGTAGAGGTTAGTCAGGGAGAGGGTAACAAATAGAAAACCCCACATAAAAAAACCAATGGAAGAACATATCTATTTAAAATCCAATTAGTTGATGTTAGTGATCTTGGTAAACTTATAATAAAGATGAAATTTTGTTACAAATTAAAAACAGGTTAAATTGTAGATGATGATGGATTTTAGTGACACGTAACAGCTGTACATAGAGATAGATTTTTTAGGGATTGGTGACTGCACATGAAATAAGTTAAGGAGAAAGGTACAGTTGGAGGAGTTTAGGTACAGTCAAATAAATAAATACCGTAGGTAAATAAATAAAATAAAATAAATAGAAAAATAAATGTTCAACATAGTGATGGGAGATTAGCATAAAGAAATGATGCTAGGTTAAAGAAAAGTTTACTATACACAGTATTCCAATTTAAAGACTGTACAAGGTGAGGTTTAGGGACTGTTTTCTGTACATGATGTTGTAGTTTAGTGTACACAGTGTTGTAATAGATGTACTGACCCTTGCACTGCTGGCTCCTGTGACCACAGGTTGTTGACTGTGAGCTCGTAGTGGAGGACTTGCAACAGAGCCTGTGAGCAATGGGCCGTGGTGGGGGGGAGGAGGAGTCCCTGCACCTACAATGCCTTCCACCTGCAAACATTGTAGGCATAAGTAACACTACATACACTACATGACAAATAACAGTAACCACTATGCTGATACTTTGCATTACAAGACCACAAGAATCTCAAGGGAAAGAATACATTTAATCAGTTAACAAAATATCAGGGCTTACTATCCACAGTTTTTATTATAAATGCAAATGGAAGGTGATTTGTAAATTCTTTAGTTTCAACTTCAACACAGTGATACTTACATTGCTGATAGAATGGAGTATGTGCGCCTTTGGAGTCATGGGTTGTGGCACCTTGCCTGCCACTGGCACCTTCTGTCTATGAACTGCCTGCAGCAGGTGTGTCTTGTGGCTGAGCGGGGTCGTAGGCAAAGCCTTGGCGGACGGAGACAGCGGCGGCGGCGCTACCACCTGCACAACACACAAGAATAAGAATCATTACAACATTGTTTGATTTGTAAATGACAGAAACAACAAAATAATGTTTACAACCCATGTGTACTTGAGAAACCAGATGTGACGTGAGACTTACCCTGTTGATGGTCATGGGGCCGACCACATTGGTGACGGAGGCCTTGTTGTTGATGCCTGTGGGACTCATCATGACTCCTTGCGGTGGCTTGACTAGTGACGGAGCAGCAATGGTCAGTGGCTTGCTAAGAGACACAGAGCTGGGCAGTGTGCTGGTAGGCCGAGGTATGCCGCTGGGGACTACAATGCCGGTGGTCTTGGTCACCTGGGGCTTGCCGTGCGATATGATCGGTCGGGACAGTTCTGACGCGATGGGCTTAGGAGTAGTCTTCGGTGGCAGGGGCGGCACCACAGCACAGTTGGGAGGTACTTTCACAGGTATGCCTGGACGAGTTGGTAGACTGCTCTCAGTGTCTGTTGGTAGAGAGGTTCTCATCCGCTTTTCTGCTGGTTCGCCAGAGTCTTCCTTACCCTCTAGTTGTGGCCTGAAAAATGAAAACAAATGTAAATTTGAACTGTAGCAACTAATACACACTAATAGGATTAAAAAATGAACTTGGTAAAAATAATCCGAGAAATACACATTAGTTTTTAACTTTTAAATTCACCCATAGTATTACTTTTTGATTTGAGAATTTTATTGTTGTTTAAAACCAAACCTTTTTCTAATTTCCACTGAGTCATTGATTGACACAATATAAATTGTGAAATAACACACATTTAGAAGCTTGAGCGCTTCTCTGAAACACACTGCTTAACTGCTTACCTGACATGATCAGTATTGACTGGGATGTACTGCCCCTCCTCACTCTCCCTCATGGGGATGAGTAGTCCAGTGACAGGGTCAATGAGAGTCATCGGCTCTGTGGAGGGAGGCTGGGCAGGAGTGTGAAGGGCTGTAGGTGGAGTCAGAGGCTTGGCGGGGGCTGCAGGCTCTACTGGAGTCACCACACTCTTCACTTCTGCAGCAGGTGTGTCCAGGGCTGGCAGTGGAGGCGCTGAGCATTGTTTGCGCCTCGGAGATTTTCTTGTCTCCAGCGCCTGCGCCGCAACAGCTGATGCTGCGCAGGTAGCTGATGCTCTCGTCATCCTTCGCCCTCCACTGCGAGTTCCTCGGATCACATCCTCGATGGTGTCGTCGACAGTTGTTCTGCTCACTCCGTCCTTCTCCTATAACACAGGCACAAATACATGAGCAAAATACACATGGATCTAATTTACTGTGAACCATTTCCCATAGGGTCTACCTAGCCAACACTTAAGTTTTATAAATTTTATTTTTGGTTAGTTTTACAAGGATTGTTAAAATAAAACACATACTCTACTACATTGTGATTAACAATCTCAAAAACCATAAAGTAAAATAAAAATATAGATGCATATGGTGTTTTTGGTTCTTCAAGTAGTGTAAGAAGAGTTGTGTGGTGATCAATTCATATTTGTTGAGATAAGTTTTTGATTTTTAATAAACTTAACTAATGATAAAGTTAGTGTTATTTTGCTTACTCACAACTGTTAAATTCCAGCACCACCTACAAACTATAAAATGATAAATCCTCGTCGCAATACCTACTTGGTTACTGACCTGCAGCCTCCTAGATTTCCTAGTGTTGTTAGCCTGTGCGGCAGTAACAGAGGCTGCTGTGGCTGGGGCGGTGGTGGTAGCGGGGCCAGGCGGGTCTTGTGGACTCTTTATTGTTAGGATCAGCCGTGGTCTATTTGCTTCCTCCTCAGAGTCGTCTCTGAACTCGTAGACATCGGCCGAGGTCTCACTAGCCGAGGCTGCGTTGTTGTTGAGCCTGGCTCTGCGAGTTACGACACCTCCACCTCGCCCGCTGGCCTTGCGACGTCGACCTCCTCGCCCTCTCACACTTACACCTGTGGGTAAACAATGGTTTAATTTCATACAACTTTACATAAACATCTATAAACATCTAATATTTACACTTTTTTTGTTGGGTTACAACAATGACTTAGCTACATTTCTTTTCTTGCAAGATGTTAAATATAAGAGAAGCACAGAAGCAATTAATTTGTTATGCACACTCAAGGGTGAAAAGACCTCACACAAGATTGTGCCATTAGGATTGTGTTTTACAAATAGTAAACATGAATAGACTTTAGCCATTTAATACTAGTTTGTCTGTTGATCCAATCAATAATTTTCGTAGTGTTAACTGTTAACATTATTCATTCTGATAATACAGACTCTACCATTCCGAACTAAATGTCCATGCCAAAGCTTACCTGCTGTCGGTTTTAATACAATAACAGCTCATATCAATATTTTACATGATTGTTTTAATATCATCCCCTAGTTTATAAATTGTGGTTAAGAATTCACTCCATAATATGTTTAAACAATAATAGCACTGTACTTGAATATTATATTCTCAAGCTCTAAATGGTAAAAATAGAATGATAATTGGAATATAATTTGTTGTCTTATTTTAACAATATGTAAATACTAACCTTGAATGTCTTTGTTTTCTTTGATATCAACAGCCTCAGTAGATTCTTCATCAGAATGTTTGATTGGTTCATCTTTGGGTTCAGCTTTGATTTCATCCTGACCTTCTACTTTGCTCTTCTCGACTTTTGGGCTGGGAAATGAGGATGAAGATTCTATACAAAGGCCATTTTCTTCTTTCTTAATGCGGATTTTCTCAATTTTGGGCTCATCTGTTGACTTTGAAACAATTTTATCACTGGATATTTCAGGTTTTTCAACTGGACTTTCAATCTCAGTTTTACTGGGTTCAACAACTGTTGTCTCAACTTTTGGTTCAATTTTAACATCTTCAGATTTCAAGTCTTGTTCATTATGACTGGTGTTTTCCTGTTTTAAATTTGGTTCATGATCCTTTTTTATTTCCATCTCGGCATTGATTTTTGGTGCATCTTCTACTTTTGTTTTCAACTCATCGGTGTCTGCTTCAATTTTGATTGGATCTTTTGACTCTACCGCCTTTTTTCGGTCATGGAGTTCTTGTACAACTTTGTCAAGAGTGGCTGAATTACTTGTTTTAGAATCTTGTGATTGACTTGGAGACGAAGAAACTTTTGCCGTCAGATCTTGAATAACAGCATTCAATGGTTTCACTTCCTCAATGACTGGTTTTATTATTTTAGTTTCAACTGCTGACAAACGTGCTGATTCTATGACTGTCTCTCCAGTCGTCAGTTTTTCTGTTTTAACAGGATGATGGAGTTCATCTTTCTTGGAGGTTGTCAGAGAAAGAGGCTCTTCTGTGATTTTGGGTATGGCTTTTGTTGCCAGCGAGGGGGTTTCAATCTTTAAAGACAGAGGGTTTTGAATGTTTTCAGAGGAGGCTCTATTTTTATCCAGAACTGGAGCATCATTCTTCAGAGTGTGAACCACCTGAGGTTGAGGTGCGTTGAGGGGACGAATCATCTGAGCTCCAATAGTCTTTTGTACAATTTGGGGTTGTAACACGGTTACAGTTTGCTTTGAAGGATTTTGCAGCACAACAGCTCTCACTTGTTGAACACAGGATGTTTGTAAAACATGAGCATTTATTTTATTGATGGAATTCGGCTGAGACACAGGAGAGAGGTGTCTGATTGTATGACCTGTCCCTGGTTTAGTGGGGGAGCATAGTTTCACTGGTATGCAATTTGGCACTTGCTGAAGAAGATTAGAATTATTTTTGTTGGCATGTTGCAGCACAGGTGAATGTTGCTGGATGTGTTTCTGCTGATGTGGACTCATTTGTTGGTGATGAACATTTGGACTCAGTTGCAGCATGGCAGGATGGATGTTGTTAGTCTGCTGCTGAGCCAATGAAACCTTTACGTGGTGAGGAGAAAAGCTGAGCGTAGCAGGTGAATGATGGGGCGATGAAGAATGTTGTGCCGAAGAATGGTTAATATTCAGTTGTTGACTAGGAGAAAGCAATACATTGGTATTCAGGTGTTGATTGTGGGATACATTCACACTCAACTGTTGACTGTGAGGCTGATTAGCTATAATCTGTTTGTATTGGTCTAGCATTGGTTTGTTGGGAACAATCAACCCTGTCGGGGACTTAGCAGACACAGGCATTGTTGGTAGGTTTAATTTGTGACTTCCTTGTACCTGTGGAAAGTTTCCATGATTCACAGAGCTTACAGTTTTATTGGAGATTGATTGAGATGCCAACGACTGTGGTGACTGTAAGTTGTGATGCAAAACATATTGAGAAACTTGTGCATTACCCTTTACATCAACATGTTGGGCTCCAGGTGAATGGATTTTGTTTGCTAATTGCAATACAGAATTGTTTTGCTGATTGGATGGTGGCAACTTGGTTTGTGTCTGGACTATTAAAGCTACTGAAGTTGGAGGTGTTACGATAATTTGACTGACTGGTTTTTGAGGCAGTGGTGATTTGTCTATATTTGAGTCTTGCAACGTTGGTGTAGGCAGTGCCTGTTTTTTGTTTATTTCTACCTGAGTAGGAAACACAGCCTGATGGTTTAAAGGAGAATGTGAAGACTGGACATTTCTTGCGGTTTCTGTTGGTGCACTTGGAGGAGAAGAAAATATAACAGATGGTGTTTCATTTGTTGTGCTTTTAGGAAACTGGTTTGAAGTATGGACAAGTGGTGGTGGCAAAGGTGTTGGTACAGGTTTTGACAATACTTGAGAGGGAGTTGCTGGAATTGGTTTCTCAGAACTCAATATCCTGGCTTCTGTCTTTGGTTCTGCAGAATTATGAGATGAAGATTCAGCAACTATATTTTTTGGAGATTGGTATGTTTCATCTTTACAAATCAAGGGTGGTAAATCTTGCCGCTTAGGAGCATCCACTGACCGACTAACAGAATCACAACGATCCTCTTTTAGAGGAGAAGCAATGTCATCAGCTTTAATATTAATAGTCTTTGATTCGCTGTTGATTGGTTTTGGTCGGAATGATGAGTTACTACTTTCTTTCTCCTTATCATCACTAGATTTGTTCTCATTATCACTATGATGATACTCGTTAATATGTATGGTTGGTGGTGAACTTGCAGGAGATTGGCTACCCTCCTGCTTGGAGTTGTCTGGACAAGCTAAGGCCAAGATACGTTCTTCTAATCCCTCTCTTGTATCTTGTTGTCTATAAAATGAAGTTGGTATATCAGGAGTTCTTGGTGGTCTTGAAAAATCAATTGGATCATAATTATCCTCAGTATCTGTGTCAATTTGCAAATCTGGTTCAGAAACAGGAGTATCTGGTTTGGTATAGCTTTCAAAGCCACCTCCAAAAGAATCTTCTAGGAGGAGAGCAGCAACAGCATCCTCTGTTTCTTCTTGAGATATTACAGGTGTTGGCTTGTCTTCAGAATTTGATGAAGGTATGGGCTCTTCAATTGGTTCTCGTTTTTCTTCTATTGGTTTGGTTGGTGATTCTGAAATACTTTTGACTGCAGTTTCATGAATATTTTCATCAACTTGAGACCCAAACCCAGGAATGTCAGGCTTCTTACTCTGATTAATAGAAGGAGGTGGTGGGCTGTCCATTAATCGTGGTAAAGATGGAGGTGGGGCAATTGGTTCAGGCTCTCTTTCAGAATCCGCTTCATTAGCTATGGCTGCAGCTTCTTCCTCCAGTCTCTGTTGATGATGTTTACTCATCTTCTCTTCCCTCGATTTCTTCCTCTTTTTCTTTTTGACCTTTTCTTTGAAGTCCTCTGAAGGAGGAAACCCATCAGAATTCTCCAATAGCTTTGCTTCAAGTGCCCGGCCAGCCTCGTCAAGTTCCCGAGCCTTTCTCTCTTTTCGCCTTTTGTCACGTTTTCTTATAACTTGTCTTTCATCCTCAGAGTCTGATCCATATATCTGAGACACATGCCATTTGTTATTATGAGTCTTATCGGAATCATCTGACAATGGTCCAAAAATGTCTTCCATTTTGTCATCCCTTTTAGACGAGCCATCTCTTTCACTTTTCTTTTTTCTTACTTTAGTTTTTTCAGTTTGTTCCTCATCGCCATCATGACTATGTGATGATTTTCTACGATCCTTCTTTGAACTATGGCGTTTTCCATTTCCATCTTCTGGGTCATCTGAATTTTTCTGCCTCTTTTGTTTTTTCTTGTGAGATTTCTTTCTTGGCAAGTCCGATGTACTACTATCAATTGAATTTCTATGATACTGCTCTGATTGCTCTTTTTCAATATCAGTTTGAGTTGGATGTTCTGGATCTTCAGATATATTTGAAAACAAATCAGCAGTAGGATAATCATTACTTTTCTTTACAAATCCATCTCCCTTCTTATTTTCATCAAAGCTTAAATCAATTTCACTTTCGTCAGATTGTATACGAGATGGTTTGTTTCTCACAATGGTATGTTTCATTACATCGTCTTCTGAAGTGTCAGACAATATTTTTCTTAGTTTAGGTTCCAAATCTTCTTGATGAGGTCGAGGAACTTTGATTCTGGCGATGCTCAATCTTCGAGTGTCATCTTCAGAAGTATCAGACATAATTTTTCGAGGTTTGGTTTCAACATCTTCAGCATTTGACTTCAAAGCTTTCAATCGTGGAAGATTTAGATTTCTATGGCAGTCGTCTTCAGAGGTGTCAGACATAATTTTTCTTCCTTTGGTTCGAATGTCTCCCTCAGAATTAACATCTTCTTCTGAGCTGGTTATCATCAATTTATTTGATCTTCTACCTCCTCTTTCAGAGTCAGAATCTTCATCATAGGATGTTGATCGCTTCTTTTCCTCTCTTTTGGCACGACTTTGTTTTAACTGATTGAATTTTTCTTTCAGCCTTTCCTGCCTTTTCTCTTCTTCTTGCTTTTGCATATTTTTGGTGGATCTGGCTTTTACCTTGTCATACATTGAAATGTAAGCAGGTTCTTCATCAACAATATCAAAAATAGAATGTCGTTTTGGAGTTTTGGAATCATCATCACCACTACCTGCTTCACTCTCACTTGCTGTTATGCCATTTTCTTTATTGTGCTTTGGCTTCCCTTTGCGGTCTTCTTTTCTTTTTTCGCTACTGTTCTTTTTATCTTTTTTAAACATTTTCATGCTCTCAGCTTCATCCTCCTTTCTTTTCTTGCATAACTCCTTTTCTTTGTCTTCTTTGATCTTTTCCTCGAGCATCTTAGCAAAGGATTTGTTGTGCTTTTCACTAGTGCTCTTTTTACTACTCGTGCTACTTCGCCCACTGTCTTTAGAATCTCTTCTTTCGGGCTTACTCTTTTTTGAGTCATCAGCACTGATTTCTAAACTATCTTGAGAACTCAGACGCCTTTTGGACCCAATAGCCGCAGGCCAAAAGTTCTCCCTTTTCTTTTCCTTTTTTGAAAAATCATTTCTTCTCATTAAGTCATCATCTTCATGGTGATCAAATGAACTATTTTTCTTTTCAATGCTTTCTCCATCTTCTTTTCTATCATTTTGGTCTGATTCACATCCTTTTTCAAAGGAATCTATTTCCCTAATAATTCTCCTCCCTTTGCCAATATCTGATTTCCTATCAGCATGCTTTTCGTCATACCAATCTCTCTGATGATTTAGTTCATTATGGTCAATAGCATCTCTATGACGATCTTGGTCACAGGAGTCTCGTTTTTTATCTCCGACATTTCTTTGTTTGCCAACACTTCCTAAGAGATCATTTTCAAATTTCTTTTCTATCTCTTTCAACTTCATACTATCAACATCATTGAAATTCTCTTTTTTCCGTGCAAATTCTTTCCGCCGAAATATTTCAGCAGCATCAGCATTTTTTCTTCTTTCATAAAATTTATAGTCAGAGTTATTGATCTTTTTCTTTTCACTATCTTTATGCAAGGTGTCCGTGTCATCCTCTTTCTTCAAACCCTGTTTTGACTTAGGATCTCCTTCTTTTCTTTTATCCTCAATAGGTTGGTGGTTAATGTCATATGAATGAGAAGCGTCATTTTTTCTTGGATCATAACTATTCTCATCATAGTCATCTCCTGTATCTCTACTTTTTACATACCCAGAGTTTTCTAAATCTTTCCTAATCTCTTCAACCCACTCACTTATTTGACTTGTTGGATCAGTATTATTTTGTTTTTCAAAATTCTTCTGTTTGGAACTTTCAAAAATGTTGTTTTGAAGAGGGATTTCTGAGTTTTTTGTCCTGAAATCGAGTTTTTCTCCATCTCTTCTTTTGTCATATTCCTTGAAGCGATGGGATGAATATTCAGAGTTAGGTTGTTTGAGATGTCTAAAAATATCTGCTTCCTTGTTCAATTCTTGAAATTTACTTTTCATTAGTTCAGCATGCTCTCTTTTCACATCAATTTGTTGAATGATGTGGGAGTCACCATTATCTCTCTTCTTTTCGTCTTCTCTTAGCCTTGTATAGTCAAAATGTTTGCTGTTTTCTCTGTGCCTTGAATTAGCAGTAAACTCCTGATCTTTTCTTATGTCTTTAGGCTTTAAGTTTTCATTGAACTCTTCTGATTTACATGCCGAATGGTAGGAGTCTGAAAAATGATCTTTTATGTGTGATGAATCTTTGTACTTAATGTTCTGTAGGTTATCGTTTTCTTTTTTGATATCCACACTTTTCAGTGAAAGGTCTTCAGACGACTCTGATTCTCTTCGGTTACTATTTTCTTTGTGCCTTGAGTTTTCCATGTAAGTTGAAGATTTAGATTTGTCATCCTTCTGCCTGAGAGAGTCTAATGAATCAGGACTTTTTCTTGAAGACTTGTGCCTAGTAGTCTCTGTAAAATCTGTAGCTTCCTTTTCCTTTTTTACTTGATCTCTCTTTTCTTTGTGTTTGGAATTTTCTTGGTAAACATGTAAAGTATCCTTTTCTTTCCTCTTTTCAGAACTGTCATTACATTTTTGGGTTTCTTGATGAACGCATTCCTTTTTCTTTTCATTGTAGTCAACAGATTTTCTAGTCAAGGAATCACTCTTCTCAGAAACATTGTCCTTTTGCCTTGTGTCACAATCAACATCTTTCTTATCATCTAAATTTTCAGGTACCTTACTATTTCTAGAACTATCACTACTAGTATCAACGCTCTCGCGCCCTCTTCTCCTATCTCTTTCTGGACACACTTGTAAGGAATCTTTCTTCTTCTCAGATGTGTCGGTTGTTGTGTGCCTTGTGTTATCATTATGCCGAGAGTCAAAGATTTTGTTAAGATTTAAGGGGTCTGATTTTAGACAATCAGAAATGTCAGAATGCTCACTAGCCCTAGACTCACTTAACCTAGATTTGAATGGTTCAACAATTTCACTGTCCTTTTTTACACTGTTATCAACGCTGTCCCTTCTTCGCCTTTCTTCTTTGTGATTTCTGTCTTTTAACTTATCACTAACACTTTCCGTTCTCAAACTGTCTTTATTTGAATCCATACTATCCCTCCTTCTTGGATCTGAATAACTTCTTCTCCTCTCAAAAGATTCAGGGTCCCTTGCTTTTTCACAATCAGATTTCAATGTCTTCCCCTCTTCATCTCTTGACAATCTCCTACCACTGTCATAAATTCTGTCATCAGCACTCTCTCTTCTTAAACAGGATTTTAATGGTTTAAGTGTCGGAGATGGTAATGAAGGTTCCTTCATTGAACCATCTGATTTTTCATTATTAGAGTTGTTTGGTGACAACAACTTGGGAGGCGCTTTCATTTTATCGTCTCTACAAAGCCTCGGGTCAACATTTTCATGTTTCTTTTCAACAGATGGTGGTGATGAGAGCTTTGGTGGCTGATGAAAGGTTGTTGTTGGAGGTTGAAACTGACGAACTGACGAAACACTCGTTATACAAGTGGTGGGAAAGGTTTGAGATTTAGAAGATTCTGTGGAAGGAACATTAGGCGATATTGCAGTTACACTAGAAAGACTTGAACAGGTTCCAAGTGACATTGGAGCTGTAGTTGTAGCTACACTTGTTGTGGGCTGGACAGGAGGATGGCTCGGAAATGGATACTGAAGTCCTTTGGCTCCAGCAGGAGAAGACGCAGCAGCCGGTGACTTGGGTGCAGCAGGCGAGTGTAGTAAAGGACTGTCCATTCTAGGCCTTAATGTTGAAAACCCTGGTCTGGATGGAACAAATTCCCTCGGCTCATACTTTTCTCCAAAGTTTTCTAGCCTTTTTGAGTCTTCATCAAACACAGACCTCTTTGCAAGTACAGACTTGACAATCTCTGATGGTTGCAGTTCATTGAGATCCAAATCGAGTAATTTATGTCGCACTCGTAATGTTGCAGGGTCGACTTTGGTCATGATGCTTCTGGAGCCGGACCATTTTTCATACTTTTCATCCAGTGATCTGAGTCGCTCCTCCCACTCTGGTGATGGAGGGGAGGGTTCCGAATCATCTGAAGACGTTGACTGGGGTCGAGGCGGAGAGGCAGGTGGGCTACGAGGTGCTGGACGAGGTGACATGAGTTGAGTCGCGAACCTCGGTAGAGGTAATGAGAGGGGATCCGGAGGTCTCTCCCTAGGTGTTCGCCGAGGTTCTAATGGTGGGAGATTTTCTGGTCTCTCGTCGCACAGAGGAGTGCCAGGTCTACTGCCTTCCCCACTGTGGCTTCGTCTGTGCTTGCATCTGCGTCGCGAGCTCCCCTCCTCCCCAGAACTAGCACAGTCTTCTAGTTGTTCCAGGAGAGCCACTCTCTCCTTCTGCAGGTGCCGAATGTCTTGTGGTCCCTGGCCGACCGTCACAGTCACTGTTCCACCTCCATCCTCCAATGACATTTCTTCATAACTCCTATACAAGAAAAACAACAAAAAAGAGGTAATAAAAACACATAAAGAATTATTGTTTTGAATAAATATTCTAGTAGAACAAATATTACCAAAAGTATTGTTAAAAAAAATTAAAAATGAAGCACCCAAACAATATAAATTTTAGAGGTAATGAATTTGTTGTATTATATAGGCTACAGTAGAGTCCCACAAACTCGGCGTAATGTGGACTGGAAGAAGGCCGAGTTTGTGAAATGCCGGGCTATCGGGAACAAGGGTTAAAATAAGAAAAATACAGTTTTTAAGCTTTTTAACCGCCTTTTTTATTTATATTTATATTACAAGTCAGTATTAAGTCAACAGATATGGTACAACAAATCCTTAGTACCAGTTGCGAATAATTTTACTTAAGCTGGCTTGAGCCCATGATTAATTCAGACTAAAAAAATTACAAATTTTCTGAGCCAGGTGATGGCCGAGTTATCCAGACTGCCGGGTTATCGAGTGCTGAGGGGGGTTATCAATTGTGTAATATTACCAGTATTAAAGTCACTTGGTCTTCGTAGCCCTAAATTGTACAACGCTTCAATATACTAAATTATTTTTAAGCTTTACAAATTGGTATGGAAAAAGTTGGGTAATTTTTGTTTTGAGTGTGAAAAATGGGATTTCCCCATTTTAACCCCATATCCCATAGTCCGATCATGCTGGTTTGAATAACTCTTTTGAATAGTGATCGGTTTACACATTTGTACCTAATTTTGTCAAAATCGGATGTTCCATATAATTAATATGATAAAAATTTGCTCTAACTGCAACATGACACATACCTGTACGGCCTCCTGTCAGCAATGAAGTCAGAGTTGAAGTCAAAGCGTGGCGTAGTGGTGACATGGCGAGGGGTAGAGCGTGCAGGCGACGTGCCAGGACTCACAGCTGTGGTGGGGGCCCCCCGTGAGTACGACCGAGCTGCCTGGGGCTGTGTGGAGTAACGAGGGTAGCGAGCCGAACCTCCCCCGCCACTACTGCTAGACGATGAGGAAGGCGTCTCAAATCCTCTGACTGGAGCCCCAGTAGTGGCCTGCGGTGACACTTGCACACTGCAAAACATAAATTGATATCAACACTATTGTTGAATTACTAATGAAATACACTAAGAAGCATTATACAGTAAAAATATTACTTTTGGAGTAAAGAACACTTGGCTTAGGAATACGCTAAGAAAAAAGGAATACACAATGAACTTATCCAAGAAAATAATTCCAAGCAGTTCAAAACACACAAAAAGTTATTAACAGGGTTAGTTTGATATTTCCCTATTACAATTCTCAAAAGAAAATAATAGAACTGAATAAAAATAAAAATGGGTTTTGTGAATTGACTGAATGGTATACCTGGTTTCAAACGTAGTGTTGTGCCCAGTCTGCTTCTCCAGATGGTCGTAGAACGCCTCTTGACATTCTCTGGAGGCAAAGTCCACCTGTAACTTCCTTCCTCGCACAGCCACCCCTCTCATATCCTTCACTGCAGACTGAGCGAACCCCAACTGCAAACATTACATACTCCGTGTTAAGGCGCAATATACTTAACAACAGTAGTAGTAGTGTAGTAACACTAGTAGTTAGTATAATATACCACTAAGGTAACTGATGTTTGAAATAATTTTCCTTCAGCATAAGATTTTCCCAATGTTGATTTTTACTTTGTTACTTTCTCTGTTGTTGTTGCTAAAAATATTCTTATCAATGACTCGAAAATAAAAAAAAATAATAGTAAACTACTGTATTTTCTTTGTTTCTAAAAATAAGAAACTAATTGAAAATGCTTACATACACCAGAAATCCTTTTTAGACGTTTGGTTATGTCATAGACTAACCAACTCAAGTAGACCTCTCATCCCATTGAGGCTCATTTTTTGTGTCTAGTTCATGTACGGTGACACTGGGTGCTAGTGTGGGTGAAATGTTGTTGAAAATTATTTTGAGGTTAGTTTCTTGATTTGAGCTTTACTGTTTTGTTATGTAACCAGGGGAGTTATTGTTTATGATTAGATCGTATTATTTGGTTAAACGAGGTTTTAAATTAGTGAAATAACAAGAAACTATTTGTAAACACAACACGACCTCTACAGTGCACTGCACAGAACTAACAATACAATTGGCTTCAGCTGTTCCATATAGATGAGAAATCTACTAAGGGGGTTCTAATAGGGGTTTATCTATGATAGTATCCAGATTCAATATTTCATATAAGTCCCTGTTTGTAAAAGTTAAAATAATACAAACCTGGTCATAAAACACCAAAGCGTGACCTCTGGAACGATCTATCGCCACATGAGACACAGGCCCAAACTGACTGAACTGTAGACTGAGGTACTTCTCAGTGACTGACTCTGTCAACAGAACATCATGCGTTACCTCTCAGGCACAACATAATTTAAACAAACAATCCTTTAACCTGCAAAGTATAGTCCTACAATACAACCTCGATTACATTTAAAACACTGAACAACAACTATGAGTCTAGCATGTGATGGCCCAAAGGAATTACCAACACATAGTTTTACAACACAGGTACAAATTCAACTCACAGATTTAAGTTATCATGTTCATAGATAGATAGATAGATAGATAGATTTATTTGATCATTAAACATGATACATAAAATGCAATAGATGATTTCAATAAATAGTAAACAAGTGAATCAGAGAGATACATGCAATTAAGCTACATCAATTAAGGTTTACATGCACAAAAAATAGGTACCTATAAGATAAATTATAAATAATACAGACAGGCTTACTAAATAATATATGCACTAGTAATTAAGTATAAAAAAAGTTAAATCACAGTGGGCGACATACTTAATAATAATACACTAGGCAAGCAGCTAGCAATGAAAGATTTACAAGTTAGAAATTTACACAAGATAAAGCAGATACCCAATGGTGTGATTATTTACACAAAAATTTGAATCAACTCTTTAATTTTTAATGTTTTATGGACAATTTGTTTACAATTAGGAATATTGTTTTCCAATTCATGAGCAAGTTTGACTTATCTATAAGCTCACAAAAATGAAGCCAAAATCAGTCTACCAACACAAATCAACCAGCTCACAAAACAACTCAAGTTACTAGCAACAAAAATAAGCCTCAAACTCTTGCGTTACCTGCCACACCATCCACCCACACACAGTTGGTGTGTAGAGACTTGCCGAAGCCCAGTTTGATGCGGTTGTTGCCGAGATGTTCTCCGTCCAGTGTCCGCATCGCTCTCACCACACTGCTGATATCACAATACTGACAGAATGCGTACGACGACGTCGACCCTTGCTTCTTGATGTCAATCTCCTGAGGGTCAAGACAAATGTAAAATATCTAGAACTAATTCATATCACAATATCAGAAAACTCATCAAAGATATCTTGCAGCAAAATCAAAATTTAATGTCAGCAGTAATAAGCAAACCAGAATCTTTGATAATTTTAACAATTTTAAATTGTAATAAATAGCTTGAATGTATTGTAAAGAATATTATCTATTACTTATTTAATACGCAAGCAGGTTATTTGTGACAATTACTCCTCTGAAACTGCTGAACAGATTGACATGTTTTTTGTGTCATTGGAAAGAGCGTAACGTGAAGTTGTGCAGGAAACTTTCTTTTTCCGGAAATAAATAGGGAGTGAGGCCCTGGGGCCCTTTAAAGTTTCATATTTTTCCATAAGATTAACATGGGAAAGAAACATTGTTATGAAACTCCAGGTGTTGTCAGAAATTAAAAGTGAGAAGAAGGAGAATGTTAATTGTAAACAGTCAATTTAGTTTGCTAATAATAACAGTTTGCTACAAACATTTATTGACTTCGTTTAAATGAAATATTTACTATTTGAATTTGGGTTGGCGTAAATATTACGATGGAAAAACGCGAGAGAGCCTGGATAAATTGATGTACACTACTAAAAATAAAACTGAATTTAGACTATGCTGCATTTCTTATAGTAATCATTGAAAGAGCCGATTTGCAAACTATGGAAACATAGGAAAGTCATAGAACACCACCAAGGAGAAGAAATAGAAATAATGTTGTTTTTTTCTAGAATTTATAATCGTTATTATGGACAACCTAATTCGGCTATGAGTAAGGCTATTTGTAGAAAACACTAAAAACCAGAACAGCTTTTGAAAAATGATAAGATGATAAGAAAAATTTTTTTATATCGATCTGTTATTTACATCTTCAATGGGATACTCACACTGTACTGTATTTCCATAATCTTTTATTCAAACCTTTTAAAGTCATCAGAAATTATGACTGTTATTCGTTTTAAAATAACGCCTGTAATACTTAGCAATTGCTCGAATTCGAGCAACAGGGACAGGGGACACTAGTTATCTTTTAATACACAGGGGGAGTTATGCCATCTACACTAGGTATCTTACCTACTGTTTACAATGACATATCTACAGGGGAAAAATGTTGTATAAAGGATGTAATAACAAATTTGACATATTAAAATAATACTTTAAAACACCTTACAAACTTATGCCATGGTTGGCATAATTTAGTGTTTAATAAGAATAATGTTGGCATGGAAAAATTTTATGTCAGCAGTAATACGCTAACTTTCTTACTATAAAAACCTTAAAATTATATTATAACTTGAACCTTATTTTTAAATTTTGAACCAAACTATCTTCACAATTACTAATTTTTCTTTAATATGTAGAACACTATTCTTGTTATGTATAAAGAGAAAGTAACACCAGCCAGATACTGAAATAATTGCACAATAAATTGTATCTAGAAGTTACTTACGATGATCTCGCCAAACTGGTCAAAGTGTTTCCTCAGCTCGGCCGCCGTGATGTCCTTCTCCAAGTTGCCGATGAACAGCGTCCGCGTGGCTTTAGGATGGAACTCGTCTTGCTCAGCCTCGTACGGCCTAGCCACAAACCTTTGTAACTTTAGGACATTATCTTACCTTTCCCCTCGGAAAACATAAATATAACATAACAACTAAACAAAGTCAAATAATATAAACAACACAAGAATGAACGCAATACACGTGTGAGTTGACAAATGATGCAAACATATTTGATTAGGTACTATGTGTAACAAGAAAAAAAAAGTAACACTGAATTCAAAATATCTCTAAATCCAAAACCTGTTTATAAAACAACCAATACTGTTTAGCAAACTATTAATTTTTAATCAGATAACTCTTTGCAAAATTAGTAAAGCTAACGAGAATGTAAATTTAGTTTTACCATCAAATAGAGATATGGTCTTTTCCATTTCACATTACAGGCACATTGTTAAATAATCTCTCAACTTTACTTTTCACTATTTTAAATTTTGTATGCAACTTCCATCAATCAAATGCTACTAAAAAAACCCCAAATACTTTGTACACAAAATTAAAAATATACAACTGAAAAAAAAATATTCAAACAAATAAATTATAGACAAAAAACTGAGGAAAACAATTAGGAAGGTAAAATGAAAACTGATGAATGTCGGGGAAAGGTCACACTTATTACCTTATGCAGCTCATCTATTTTTTTCTTTACAGTCGAGAAAGTGAAATTAAGAGTTTTATGAAAAATACCAAGCTGTCTAAGCAGTTCCTTAAAAAACAAATCTGTGATTTTCAATAACCTTTTACCAACACAGTTCTTTGTAATATGCACAAGCAAAAATTCCTTTAATTTCAGTCCCTCATTAGGTTATTTGTCATTGTTATTTCATTATCTTCTGAGGACCTGAACAATGAAAAATTTAAAATAGTGTCATCGAAGTGCGACACTAAGCCACTAACTAATTTAACTAATTTTTGTTTTGTGTAATTTTGTTTGGTAAGTCGATTCAGAGTTCCCTCACTTAAATGCCCACTAGACACCCTGAACTCAGAAAAACCTTATCCCATGAAGAGTATATAATATAAACATCATGTTTCCTGTTTTTGGTATTCATTCTCAATCAACGTACTGAAAGTATTAAGTTAATTCATTAAGTTCAATATGTCAATTAACTTAATATACTTTCACTTAGCCTCACTATACATCACAAACCTCTGGCTCAAGAGCGCCACTAACCTAAACTCATTGTCGTCCACGTCATAACCCTGGTATGCCGCCACCTCGATCTTGCAACCGAAGAACAGCTTATCATGGGACACGAGCAGCGCCTTCTCAACATCGTCCGGCTTCTTGAAGCAGACAAGCGCGTACCTGTTAAGGAGAACACAATATTATCGATAAAAGTAACAACAAACATAAGAGTTTGTAAGGAAAAAACTGTTTCAGTATAAATACGAGACAAGGTGATTTTGTTTCATGGCTGTGCCATATTTCAGTAATGGAATTGGAACTAGCTTTAAACTTCTTTAACTCAAATTTTTCATTTTGTTTACAAAAATACCCAGATAATCAGTCCCACAATAATGATAGTTGAAATTTTGGAATTCACATTGTTTACACTTGTATTAAAACCATAAAATTTAGCCATTCCTACAAACAAATTTGACTCTAGCTAATAAATCATAATAAACTTCAAAACAGAGTAAATGTGCCTCCAATGAAGTCTCGTAATGAAATGTATGACTTCCAGATTTTCAATCACTAAGCGTGAAAAACATTGATAATGCCGCGCCCTTCTAAACCTAGCATGAAGTAATATGGAAAACAATACCAGGCAAGAAACTATAGGAGTAAAAAAAAAATTTAAAAATCCCCTTGGTATTAGAACAAAAAAAATTATAATTTCTTATTTCACTAAATTATATTCACTAAATTTCTTATTTTTGACCCTGTTGGTATTTTATTGTACATACCTGTCAGAGCCCTGGCCCACCACCTTCACCCATGTCACCTTGCCGTGTTTCTTGTACTCGTGAAACAAACCATCTTTGAGGCTTGTATCTGTCAACACAAACATTACGTTAGTGGACTAAATTATAAATAAACAAAAAATTGAGTGTAGCCTACAGCTTACAGCTTAACCAAGTGTTAAACTAACTATGGAAGACACCAAAATCAATTCACACTGTACTTCTACAAAACATTACATGATTTAAGTTTCTGATGAAAAAACTGATAACAGCAATTTCTAATGAACACTTTTCTTTCAATGAATTAAATTTTATGTTTTCTAATATTATTTCAAAGCTTAAAGCTGGGTTTTCCTAGGCCCGAAACCGGAGACTGCTCTTTTCATGTCATAGTTTCTATGTTACTGTTTCCTAAAAGCGGAGGGGACCACCACTGAAAACGCTTCTTGGCACTTGGCTCTCCGCGTTCACCGCCTAGGAACCAAGCTTAAGGTACAGGGTATTTTATTATTTTCAATTATCATGACAGTGTCGCCAATATGTGCACTTTCTCCTAGATTTGTCAACATCAACTTGCAGGCCACTATTGGACCTGGACACATCTTTCTATAGGTAAACGTTGACAGGTATAGAGAGAAGTTCAGACTGACCACTAGAGCGGGCGGGTAGGTTGCGGACACAGATTGCCAGGGGTCGTCTGTCGTCACTGTGTACAGCTGGACTAGAGTTGTTGGTGTGAGGGGTGGACACAGCTGACTGTAGTGTCACACCACTACGCAGCGACCCATGGTGACTGCAAACACAACCACAATCAATATAATACGTTTTCGGTGTATTTACAATACTACTAAGTTAAAAAATAGATCTTTACTAAATATAACAGTTACGTCCCTAACACTCAAATAGTATTACAAACTACTGTAGTCTCGATTACCCTTCCTATGGACTAGTATAGTACAAAGAAATCGCTTGCTAGTTCACTATAACGGTTGGACACCGTTGTCAAAACAACCCCTTTTCCTGCCCCTGTTAGTACTCAAAAGACCATTACTCAAGGCAGTGGTTCTTTCTGGGTTTTAAGCACGCTGATAAGCCCTCACATTTTAGTCAAAAAGTGAGCCAAGAACTGTGGCTGAGAGGACATGAATTGTTTGTTCATTGTTTGGTTTTTAGTTTTTTCATTATTTACTATGTTATTTCTAATGATGGCTTCAAAACAATTAAATTGTTTCAGTAGAAAACAAAACCTAACACTTTGAATAGGTGTGACAACCAGAGTTTAACATGTAGGATTTTCATGCCAAGATTGGGAAAACGGGATGTAGGTTAAGTTAGGATTTTCGGCTATGACGCCTATTACTTTTTTAAATACTGCTTTCTAGATAAAAACTAACCTCAATTGATTAAATTATTTTTGCACGTTATTAGAGCACATTTAAAAGGTTCAAAAGGCTATTTAAACATGAAACGTCAAAAATATCACTCTGGATAGAACCCTAAACCTCATTGCATGGGTAACCGGGGCTGAACAAATTAGGTAAAAAGTAATAGCTAGTAATCTCTGATTACTTTAATTAATTAGACGTTTTTAAAAGTATATTACAAAAATTTGTTTTAAAACGCCATATTATCAAAAAATTTCCGGGGGCCATTGGATTTTTGTTATATTTTGCACCCCCCTGATCTAAATCTTGCAGACGCCCATGGCCTCATGGGGTATAAAATCAACGTGTCCAGGGTCCCGTCAAACTAAATTCAAGGTAAATTCCAGGTTTTCTAAGTTCAAATTTGAAATCTTCCAGGACAAAACTCAAAATAAGCAAAACTTTTCTATACCTCCTAGTAAATTGAAAACCATTCTGTCATGATTTATCACGATCGGAGCCACATCTGTGATGATTTTGATTGAAGTAAAATTTTTTATGATTTCCCACAATCGCGGCAACATTGTGATGATTGCCTGCGCCTGTGGCAACGTAAGTGATGATTTCCTGTGACCATGCCAAAATCAGTGATAATTTTTTACGATCTAAGCAACACCCTAGATGATTTCTCACGAAATCAGACATCCACAACCCTACCTTGATTATATTGTTATTGGCTATGTGTAACATTTAATTTTTCATTAATGACACTATTCAATGTACAATTCTACTGAGTTCCTACCTATGTAATTGCGACTACTATTTTTTCATGGATTTCTCACAACAACTTACCTATGGGTGGAGCAGGACTTGTCGGAGGTGGGTGATGAGGAGGCTGAGCTACAACTGCTGCTCCCTGATTGGCTGGAGCTAGAGCTGGATCTCGACCTAGACACGCTGGAGGAGTTGGAACCGCTCTCACTGCCGTTGGACCCCGATCTGTAACACCTTCTGTTAGAACAAGGGGTTATTCATCGGTAACTAGCGACACACAACACACAATCTAACCTACCTACTGAAACTACCTACTACTTGTATGCTATCTACATTGAAGTATTGCTTTTATCAATTTGGGAAAAGTTATGCTGGCGGGGAAAAATCAGTTGTAACTTGTTGTACAATATCAAAACTATTGAATCTACTGATTAGGACACTTATGCTACTGGGACTACCAACTGTAATTGATTACTGATACCGGCTAGGGGAAAAAAATATTTCAAACCAAGAATTTTAAAGTGGTTACTCATTGGTTACTACTAACAATAACACAATCTAACATACTGAAACTACCTACAGCCTAATGAAAAAATTATGCTTTTTGAAGAAGGGGTTCAATGACAGAGAGTACGTTTTCCTTGCTTAAGAGGTCTATCTCTTATTTTGTAGATAGGTGGACGCACAAATTTAAGATGAAAAGTTACCAATTTCAGTGGTTTCCGTTTACAAGAAACAATTTAAAACTCTTACAAGCAAAACCCTTATATCTGTCTGATTCTAACCAAAGTAAAGAATGGAGTGGAACATCAAAGTAATTTTGTAGCGGCCTGTTATTGTTTGGAAAGCAATTAATTCAATTACTGTAAGGACTGTAAGGTGAATGCAATATTTAATATTATGTTCTGTCAAAAAACTCTTGAAAGTTTAAAGCAATTTTTCAATTAAAACACCGGATACTTCAGATAGGTACTCGTATTGATTTTTTTAAGGCTCAAGGTGTAACACCAGAGTACAGTTGACCACATTGATATTCAATTATCTGAAGATCCAACATATTATTTATGTGACAATATAAGTATTAAGCCAATATTAGTTGTTAAGACAATATTAGTTGTTTGATCACACATATCCACTTCAATAGTCTACACCAACACTCCAGCAATTCTGACATACAACTTCTTGTCACTATGATGCGACCTTGTGGCAGACCACTGGTAAAACTAAGCAATAGCCATGAAGCTTCTGAATGAACTTACCTAGACTTGGCGTGTTTCTTGTGCACGACGACCACTGGCGTGAGGTCTCGACGGTCGTCACCGTACACATCAGGGGTGGTAGAGGGCGGAGGGTAGCGTGAGGACGAGTCATAGCTCCAACTTGACCCGACACTCCTGTGGTGGGGAGGTTGTCGACTCACCACGCTGTAAACAAATAATACAAATTAGTTTTTTTTTGTAAATAATAGTGGTACTGATCTGAACGATAATTTAATCATGATGAAGCCAGATGGATATCATTTGTGGCTAGTAAGGAAGAGAATAGGAATTTACAGAATTTAAGTTTTTCAATTGCAGTTAAATAATTGAATGAGTCTGAACCCCCATTTAGAATGGCTTAGTTCTAGTAGCCACTGTCAAAATAAGTAAAAAGTATCAACATTCCTGATCTAAGATGAAACTCATGAAGATTCGTATACTGTGAACATCCACCCGAGCTTCGAGCGTTTATTTTAGGCCCCTCTCAACAATCTCTGCCACAGACTGGGATGGATTCAAACTTTCCATCCATGATGTTGTCTCCATATTACATGGCCTTATTACTCGGTCTTGGAGATTCCATGATCATCTCCCACGATCACCCGTGATCGCAATTTTCTTATGACGTTAAAAAGGAACCAATAAAACGCCGTCAATGAATGGAGGCGCATAGTGCAACTCACTGTCTTTTTCCTGTTCAACATAATTTACGTACAATTCCCGGTCTTCAGGTTGGCTGCTACCGTGTTTATCTACAGTAACTGTCTTTCCATTGCCAATTTTTTCTCAATAGGGGAAAATTAACAGTAAACAAGTTGAGAAGATTCATCTAAAGGAAGATATGCCTAGTTTGATGGACATTGACAATTTCTACAATTTCTTTTATAAACACCCTGTATGACTAGCCTATCCTTGCTCCAAAAATTTACAATGTCGCCCTCTAGGAATAACTTTGGATTTGGAGACCTCAAAGCCCAAGTGAAGTAGTTACAGCAGATGTCAAGTATACAAATGAAAGTTTAGTTACATGCTTCTCTTATGACCAAAGCAAAACAACTAGAAATTGGTCAAATGTTTAGTATCTTTATAATTTATATAGGCCTACCATAAATTACTGCTAACAAACTGTATTATATTTACAAAACTTCCCTACTTCCAAATGATAAATGAATGTGAATGTTTTAGTTTTTTACCCTTTGAACCCTAGGGATTATAATTTTAACTAATCAAACACGCCTAATATAACCCTATCCTAATACCCCATTTAAACACACACAAACAAATTAACTATTTTTTTTTTTATGATGTTTCTTATGTTCAATTCTATAGTCCTGTTTAAGAACACTCAGACAAGAGGATACATAAAAAGTGTGTGGTACCTAAAAGAAGGTGAAACAAAAAAATAATATATCCTCATTGTTTACAGTTTATGTTATGTTTAAGTAAGCCTCTGGGGGCATCTTCTACGAAGTGTCTTAGGCAAGTGCACAAGATCTGGCCGAGAAGGGATTAAAGTACTTGATTTGCTTACAGTGGCTGTCTCTCCAGATTCCTTAAGAGTGCTTGGTCACTAATCATAATTTTTAACAGTATATCACACTAAAATTCTGGTAAATCCAGTTCTCTAACATAGTTCTAGGATCTACAGTTTATCTGGAAAGAATTTAACTGTTATTGTTGGGGTCACATAGGAAGATTATAGTGGGAAGAATATCAGCCTTTCTGATTCAAAGGGAGGCCCAAACACATTGCAATGCTTAACCTACCAGACCAAGCAAAACCCCCTTAACCCCAGTTTTCAAACTTTAATTGAAAACAGCAAAGGCTATGGGGAATGGTTTATTTTTGATTAGGTGATAAATAAATGAAAGGCATTGTGGGGGAGGTTGAAAGGGGTGAGTCAGGAAGGGGTGAGGGGGAGGCACCAGGGGGAACTGAAATCAATAACAGCTCAGCTAGGGTCTACAGCGTTGCCAAACTGTGCACAGAGCACTTGTTGCCTACAGTTACTCATAGTTCATTGGGACTCCTACTACAATATTGGTATTCAAGTGATTGTTTAAAGGTTATACAATTCGGAAATATTTAAACTCAGCCCTGAGAGTGAAACCAAAATGAAACACATACTTTAAGTACGAGGCATGTTTTTTAAGTAAGTACCGTTTTTAAACTTCTACGTTCCAGCGCTGCGATTAACATTTTGGACATTTGCGCTGTATATGTGCATCTATTGGCAAGCCCTAGCCGGAAATTCGACAAAAATCGGCCGTGTTTACATCAGGTATCGAGCATTCAAAATGGTGCCGCCAATTGAGACTGCCGCCGACTGTGAAGTGCGCGCTGTAATTAGATTTTTAAGTGCTAAAGGTGTGAAAGCCATTGAAATTTATCAACAGATTAGTGAGGTGTATGGCGAGAACATTTATGAGTGATGGAATGGGACACAAGTGGGTAAGGGCATCTAAAGACGGCCCCACCAACGTCTATCATGAGCAATGCACTGGGCAGCGTCACTGTCCCCAGTACCCAGGGCGTTGCTCATCATGAACGTTGGTGGGGCCTTCTTTAGATGCCCTTACCCACTTGTGTCCCATTCCAGCACTCATAAATGTTCTCGCCATACACCTCACTAATCTGTTGATAAATTTCAATGGCTTTTACACCTTTAGCACTTAAAAATCTAATTACAGCGCGCACTTCAAAGTCGGCGGCAGTCTCAATTGGCGGCACCATTTTGAATGCTCGATACCGGATGTAAACACGGCCGATTTTTGTCGAATTTCCGGCTAGGGCTTGCCAATAGATGCACATATACAGCGCAAATGTCCAAAATGTCAATCGCAGCGCTGGAACGTAGAAATTTAAAAACGGTACTTACTTAAAAAACATGCCTCGCACATAAGCGAGAATAAATGAAGCCCTAGGAACTCCTGTGGATTTCTATCTCCTAAACATTGGGAGTTCCAACAGATCCAATTGATGTGGTGTTATGTAGATAGATATGGGAGTATAGTAACTGTTTAGTTCATTGAATATGTGCTTTAACTCACCAAACTAATAATGGTGTCTCAAGTATGTGTGTTAACTGTGTTTTAAGCAAGGGCTATTAATACATAAAAAAAACAAAATGCAAAATGCAATTGCACAAAATGAGGATATCCAATACTCAATGCAATATAATTTTAGGTCAGAAGTAGGATTTTTTGCAGTTTTATATCAAATTTTAAAAATCCTTCATACTGATCCAATGGCTGGATTCATAAATGTATTTGGAAATAAACAAGAATAAATGTCAGTGTAAGAGATAAGAATGAGGGAGAGGTTTTTGGCCAAAACTATTGAGGATTGGGGTGTTTGGTTTAGTGATTTTTCAGACTATTGGCAATTAACGGGAGTTAATGTGAGATACCTACATTGCTTTACTTTGATAAAGTTGTAATTTAGTTTTACATGTATTTTTAACGGATTTTCACCAATTACATGGTTTATCCACATATTTTGTGATAGCTTCAGTTATTTTAAAAATTTCAGATATAATTGCATTTCCAACTCCATAATGACAAGGTAAACACAATTCATTTACACCTAATTTAACTTCTTTAATATTCATATTTTGTTTGGTAAAACATAATTAGTTTGAATCTTGATGAAATAGCATGGCCAAAGCAGACGAGATTTATTCACATTGGCTAATAGTCGTTTACTGAACTTACAATTGGATCGTGATTTAATTTAGAATTTTTAATTTATCACCCTTTTGGCTAATCGATGACCAAGGTTTGTATCGACAACGCTTTACTAAACCTTGAAAAGTCAAAAAGGAGTCTCCGATTGAGCCTATGTCTAGTGTGGTAGATGGAATCGGTCACTTTGTAACATCTTTTATGTATAAATTTACAATGAACAGTAAATTGTAGGTACATAATAAAGAGTTGGAATACATAAATTATTGTATCCCTTCTATACAGATAGGGATGAATAATGTATGGGTCGTTGGTGCTTGTTCAAGATGAGGCTTTGAACAGGCTCTGAAGGGGAAATTCAATGATTCTGAATGTTTTGTATATACTACAAAACCGAGAACAGAAAATAAGGGACATCATTCGGTTTATGACAATAATTAAAGTATGTGCTTGCATTCTGCGAAAAGCTGGTAAAAACCTCCTAGATGTGTCTAGTTTTAGTGGCATATAGCGTTATGTTGTGACATTGTTGGATTCAAGACTCGTCAATAACTTTACTTCAAAGCAGTGCTTCTAGTCCATGGACACTCACCTCTCAATGATGGGAGCGTATGGGCCGTTGCGGTAGTGTCGGTCCCGCGTCCTCCCGCGCAGGGGTTCTGCGGCAGGCACGTGGTACGTTGATGATGCACGCCGCAGATATGCATCACCATCCCTCCGTTCCCGCTCACGTTCGTAAAAGTGACTAGATCTTTCAAAACTGCTTATCTCCTCTGGTGGTCTGAAAAAAAAAAAAAAAACTTAAATTCGACTAGGGTATTGAGATGTATGTAAGTGAGTAGCAAAAACTATCATACAATGATGACTATGGTATGATTACTAATGATAACACAAGTAGGTACCAGGAATAGGCTTACTCACTTATTGGAGATCTATAGAAAACGGGGAAACAGTAGTGAATTAGCAACCATTAAAAATAGTGAGTAGGATATTATACCCACTGACTTGATTCTTTTCTTCTGAGGTTGGCAGCCTCTTTTACCCATCGATCTCTATAATAATAGAGATCGATGCTTTTACCTTACGTCCCCCCCCCCCCTCAATAAGCCAGTGAGGCCTGTGCGTAGAACCTGTGCGTAGAACATATCCAGCAAAGCAAGGGATAAGCCGGTACAGTACAACGGTAAACTGTACTGATAAAAAATGATGGCAGGGGCAGGTACCAGGATCTGAACCCTCGACATTGCTGACTTGGATCCGAAGTCCGTGGCGCTACCGACTAAGCCACCGATTCACCTCAAACTGGATTTCAGTCAGTATAGGCCTACAGAGTATTGAGCTACACCAATCTTAATCATGATGACATTCAATAGAATTACCATTATGAATCACACTATACAATGATTTCAAGAGGACTACTAATGGGTAGACAAGTAGCAAAGGTTTCTTGTGGCCAAAAAGAGTGAAATATTCTGTATAGAAGTAAAAGTTTTGATAGACTATAGATAGTTATGAGTACACTAAAATAACACGAAATACATCTCGTATTTTCAAAGATACAGGACCTATAATACTTAGGAGTTATTCATTCGGAATTTCACTGTAAGTGTGCTGGGATTACAGTCGGAAGGCAGTATTCGTCTGAGTCTTTGGTTAAGAACATTGATCAAACACATAAAAGTAAAGCCGGGTAAAATTTTAAATCTTTAAATTGAGCTTCATACTCTTTTTTTTGTGATTTACCTAGCGACCTTGGAATTCATACAAAGCGCATAGTTGTTGTACAAAACAATAATGACACTGACACAATAACAAATTATTGTTCTAGTGTTTTCACTTTGACACTTAACTGACTAAAACCAGCTGATTTTTTGGCCAACACATCATTCTTACAAGATGGTATATCAAGGATATAGCCTGAGGCCAAAAGAATCATCATCTAGTTATCAATTTTTTTTTCTTTCTCTTCCTAAACCTACATAGTATAGAATGCATTATTTTCATCAACACTTAGGCCTATGAGCTACGAGTTTTTGGTGGAAATATCGCATTTATTTGGGTTTATCAAGTAATGCCTTTATGTCTGATATATGTTATTGTGTAAAGCTACAGACTACACCTGTTGACCTATGGTACACCGATGGTCCTATTTTGATGAAATATTGTATGAACGCTCATGTATGAGGGTTCATACAATATTAATAAAAAAAAACAATCACTAATCAGGATTTTTTATTTTATTTTTTGTGAAATTTTGAATTTTTCATAAAAAAAAATAAAATACCATAAAATAAGAAAAACACAAACACAACAGATTACCAGACAGATTTTCAGAAAAATTGTTGGAACTATGTATTTTGATTTAAATGCTTACGTTAGGCCTATATGCTTTTTATCTCTGAACAAAATGATTCAACCCCAGTTACTGTAAAAATTACCATCCAAAATTTATTGAAATTTTTTTGATTATACTAATAAAATATCACAGTTACTCCCACCACTATAAGGGTTATTAACAAGCTAATGGGAGAAAGTATGTGTCAAGAAAGCTGATACCATTTATTCAGCTTTATAATGTTCATACTACAGAGGTCACACCTAAACCTTAACCATTTTCGCAAATAATTTTAAAGTGCTAGACAGGTCAGGTAGTGAGTGATCTATTTGTTGTATGTGTATTTCTACACTTGTGAAGCATATTGTCAGTCCGAGCTAAGATAATGTCACGTACTGGAGATAACACAGAGAATTACTCTTTGCACAGAGAAGGAATGTGAAAAATGATTGTACTTCACACAGGTGGCGTTGCTGCCTCAAATATCATGATAATAATAGTGTAACGTTTAAAAATAGTGTGCAGTAAAATAAGTTTGCTTTGTAATATGGATTTTTTGTGTGACCAGAAAGCAGACTGCAATGTTTTAAATTTATGTGAGCAACAAAAGGTTGAGATGGCAACCTTTGGAACTCCTCTAAAAACCGTATCTACCAGCTATATAACTACATGCTGGACAGTATTTGATTGACAAGTTGCTGGTGAGCAACAAAGGTTAAGATGGCAACCTTTGGAACTCCTCTAAAACTGTATCTACCAGCTATATAACTACATGCTGGACAGTATTTGATTGACAAGTTGCTGGTGAGCAACAAAGGTTGAGATGGCAACCTTTGGAACTCCTCTAAAACTGTATCTACCAGCTATATAACTACATGCTGGACAGTATTTGATTGACATGTTGCTGGTGAGCAACAAAGGTTGAGATGGCAACCTTTGGAACTCCTCTAAAACCGTATCTACCAGCTATATAACTACAAGCTGGACAGTATTTGATTGACAAGTTGCTGGTGAGCAACAAAGGTTGAGATGGCAACCTTTGGAACTCCTCTAAAACCGTATCTACCAGCTATATAACTACATGCTGGACAGTATTTGATTGACAAGTTGCTGGTACAAACAAGCGCAAACAACTATTAAGCATGTAATAGGATTTCGGATTAGCATTATAGCTAACGATACTTATCGTCTTGATACAAATAATCACACTAAAATATTAGGTTTGAATATCATTTTACCTACGACTGTTTTTAAACTAGTCTTTTCAATTCAGTTTTTAAATTTTAAATATTCACTTAACAGGATTGTTTAATTACTTTACCTTCGACCGTTTTTTTAAAGTAGCCGTTTCAGAAACTTGGAATTGAAAAGTTTCACATAACAACATTATTTACATTCATAACAACATTGTTTTACTTAAAAATACCGGTAACTGACCAATGAGGTTCAAGGATTGAGAGAGAAGAAGTAAAATTGTAATGATTCAAACTTCAACTAATCAGATGTTCGGGCCAATTTCTAATTATTGAGTGGTGCAATTAGTGTTTGGTTCAATTTTTCGTTGCATCATTGTCAGTGGCAATGAGAGGTTATAAACGCAATCATAGGCCTAAACTCTCTTAGAAGTTATGAGTAGTGATTTTTAGTAATCAAAACACTGTCGTAGGTTAAGTAGTGTACGCAACTCGCGTAAATAGTGTTGACGACACTCGTCAAAGTTTTTGAGCAAGGCTCGTACCTTAAATTTTCTACTTGTGTCGTTAACACTATCTTTACAAAATCGTTGCGCAAACTACTAATACAGCATTGTTTTGTTATTTAACAGTACAAGTTTGGACCAATGAGGTTCAAGGATTAAGCGAAAAGAAGTAAAATTGTAATGGTTTAAATGATAAATACAATAATGACAAATGATAAGTTGTTGCATCACAATCAGTGGCTATGAGAGGTTATACATAACCTCTCTTAGACATTGTGAGCAGTAATTGTAAGTAATTAAAAACGGTCCTAGGTAAAGTATTGTACGCAACTCGCGTGGATAGCCTTTAAGACACTTTAAGAAGTTTTAAGGCACTCACCAAGAATTAATTGTAGGTACCTTTTATTTTCTACTTGTGTCTTTAAGACTATCTTGACGCAATTGTTGTGTAAACTACTATAACATTATTGGGGGAGTGAGCTGGCTTAGTGGTTAGAGCGCAGGACTTGAGTCCTTGAGGTCAGGGGTTCGATCCCCGCCAAGTCACCGGTGGATTTTATATTAGTGATAATGCCGCAACCCCTAGGTCTAGCCTGAAGTAATGTGAAAAACAATCCCAGGCGCGTGCCTAGCGTCCTAGGAAAAAAAAATAAATAAAAAAAAACTATAACATTATTGTTTTTCTCAATTAGCCTACAATTTGTTCATAGACCAGTAATTCTCATTAGAAGTCATAGTTTCTATCATGGTTTTAAAATTTACTTTTTAATGAGCAATTTATTTCAACTAAATAATGTTCTATAATTACTTGGAATACAATTTTACAATAATGCACCTATTGATTGTGAAGTTTGCTCATTTGGTATCTAGGAAAAATTTTATGTTTTGATGGATTTTAAATCAACAGTAGTCATTAAGGTTACCTGTATAAAAAATATCTATATTTTCATACATAGAATGATGACAAATCTTCTATTCTATACTCTTATATTGAGCAATGTTTGCTTCTAAGTATGCTTGCACAAATATCTCAAAAACGGCTTCGACAATTTCCTTCAAACGTTGTAAATAATTTTTTACTGGCCAAAAACTGTGATTGATGACATCCATTACCTCAGGAAAATTTGTATTTCGCTACACAACTGATTTTAAAATTTAACATTGGCCTTATGGGTTGCCACTATCTTAGTCGAACAAAATACCGGAAATAGTAAATGAAAGACTTGTGTTTTTAATAGCCATCCACAGTATACTAGCTAATTACAATATACAGTAAGAAGGGAAAAATATAAGTTTTTACTATTTACACTGCAGATTACTCGATATAGGGAAAAATAGTTCTGATCAAACTGATTATTTTAATTGGCTCTCTGCTACCAAAACTTAACCCCCGAAGTATAAGAGGCGATTGTTAAGCCCGCTACACACGGTCAGTTCGGTGTGTCAGTTTGGTGTGTTCATTTCTAACTGTCACTTCTAACTGAACGCAGCATTTGCATCCACATGGTCAGTTCGGTGTGTCAGTTCAACGTGCTACCTGGGGGTGAAATCCTCCCAGGTACGCTTCCCTTCCTGGGAAGTCGTACTCGTTCGAATGTATTTTCATAAAAATGTTTATTTTCCTACACAGGACAGATTTGTTGGTGATGAGATGGATCTCTTTCACCTTTCCCACAATACCTAAAAGAATTATATGATTACTAAAGTTATTATTTGTTGTGAATTGTATATGACTTAAATGACAATA